CCATCCCTACCACTGGTACAGGTAAGTAGAGGTAAGTATTCCATTGACTGATCGCGGTCAATGTGACAGGTGTTCGGTGGGTGGTGACAGGGTGACCATGGTTACCGCTAATTTGTGCCTGGCTCCGCCCATCCCACCGAATATGCACCTAACGCCAAGCTCATCATTAACGATGAGTTTAACCTACATTGACTTAACTGAATAATAAACAATGTCTACATAGTTAGGTGACACCACTAAAATACACTCATCTTTTCTAAATAAAGTAGAAATAAGAAAGTTTAACTTAACTGTTGGCTTGTCACCAGAAAACTGATCAAAACAATGAAGCAAAGGACAAAAGCCTGAACCCTTAAGCTCACAGTGGAGAGCGTTGTGTCAGGCTGCCAATAATCATCGAATTCCAGGGGTTAGCCAGCATCTGTCATGAATACCATCAGCAGCAGTTGTAAGCCATTTTTAGCAGTTCACATGCAAATATCCGGCAATGATACGTGGTCTATCTTGTTTGACTTATAATCTTGATTATTTTTTGACACTAAGGTACTTGTAAGTGAAGTTGTTGTACAGTTTATGTGATGTTCAATATTTCTGTTCATTAAATAAACGAGAAGAATCGAGAAAATGTGTTAATAACGTGGAGAATGACTCTGATTGGTTGATTTTGTCAGTGACTAAAAGAAGAGTAAATAGATCCTGTGGCTTATGAAAGAACTTGCGAAAGCTTAAATGTGACGTAGAAATGCAAATGTCGTCTGACTCGTCATGAACTAAACCAATTCTTGTTTGCTTGCACAAAATAAAACAAACACACAATGGCTCCCGATAAAGAACCTTTTCACTTTACACGTTTTCAAAGATACAAGCTTTATATAAGATGAAAAATGGCTTTCCTCTGCCCCTCTCAACTTACTGTGAAAAAGAAAGGTAAGTCGCTTGGTAATGACCAACAAAATTCCAAGGTTTCCCATTAAACTGCCATGAATCATTTCACTATATACTCTGCATTACGATTACGTTTCTGAGCGCGTTAAACCCGTCTTTTTCATTTTAGTTCTCCGTGGAAAAAGTCCCATACCTCCCGACTCTTATGTAGTGAATGGAAGAACGGACAATTCTACACCAACGGAGTACAAATCTGCTCTAAAAAGCCCAACGTCTTCGACAGACTCCAGTAATAAAACAAGCAATCAACAAAGAACTGTGCGAATCAAAGAAACGACGACTCTCAAACACGAGACTCTAGTGGAGCGAAAAATAAAAGCTGCTTCTCCTACAAAACCTGCAAATATCAGGGTAAAAGTTACTCATGACTTCAAGTCTGAGGATGATGAAGAACTGACTGTACATAAAGGGCATTACGTCAATATAATATACCAAAAACACGATTGGGTTTACGTCAAAGACTCGGCTGGCCATCAAGGATTTATACCTTATGTTTATTGCTCTACTGTCAATGTTTCCACGGACTCAAAGTCGAGTACTTCAGGTTATGAAGAAAGCTTCGAAGAGAGTGATGATGTTGAACATAGTGGTGTTGACAGGAATATTAATAAACGAGGCAAAAAGTCAAGCAAACATCAACATCATCAATCAAGAACTAGTGGTAAGACTACTCCTACGACTTACTTTCCTAAGAGACCTTACGGTCCACAAATGACAGTATTGTATGATTATAAAGCAAGATACGAGAATGATTTACGAGTACTTAGAGGAGAAAGTGTGATGCTGTTGAATGATCAGGACCCGGAGTGGCTGTGGGTTGCAACAGAAGATGGAGAGGAAGGTTTTATTCCTAGAACATTTGTTATATCACACACTTGTGAAGGTAAGAAGTTATTCTAGATAATGATGGTAGTCACTTTAGTCTATTTTTTTATAGCAAATGAAATTTGGATTCTATTCGTGATATCATGGCAGAAGTTGATGGACTCGCTAATAGTCACTCATTATGCAAATAATAATCCACAGAACTTATTAGTTATCTAAATGTAGCGAAGAAAATAGATTATTTATTGATACAATTATCCAGCGATACGGTGATTGGGGTTGAATTTTATCGGCATCATAAAAGGAAAAGTTAATAGAGCAAAAACAAGAAAAATGTAGATCAGCTATTAATGTGCCAAATGCAATCACATGGACAGCAAAAGATCAAAGTAAGTCTGTGTTTTAACTTAACCCAAGAATGATATATGTCAACCATTTGCTATGGCAATAACCATGAAACACGAGAGGAAATGGCAGGATGCACTAAAAATATCTCGATGCAACGAAAGAAAGACGGATTAATTGCTGTCATATTACAATGTACTAAACCCTCAAAAACTAAAACTATTCTATAATATGTCTTGCAGGGTGTCGTAAAAAGATACTGCACGAACAAGTATATTCTCCCTGTACAAATGGCGACATCAACACCTCTGACGTCACAGTCACAAGTTCAAGTTCAATAGACAAGAAATCCAAAGAATCATCCTTCACAGACCCTACATCTTCATCCTCTAGCAACGATAAAAAATATTCTCTCAAAGGATCTAAATTGATAGCTTTATACGACTTTGAAGGAACAGCATTTGATGATCTTACTGTTGTTGYTGGCGAGTATGTGTACGCTAATCTTAAAGATCAAATAGTTCCTCATTGGATATGGGCATATTCACCGTATCGGAAAAGATCAGGGTTTATTCCTGAAGAATACCTCAAGGAACCAGTTATCAGTGATATTTGATAGTGCGACTGTTTGTAACACACGTCTTTACACGATTTTATATTTATTATACCTCATTATTTTTCATTTGCTATAGCTACTGACAGAACTGAAGATAGCTTTTCATTTTTTTAAACTCTGAATATATTTATCGAGGCTATGAATAATACATGATAATTGTTATGGACAATCTACAAAAAATCTAGAGCAATATTAGGCATCTGAATATAAAAATATATCTTCTTGAAAGCATACAATTTTGAGAAATGAGAATTAAAAACCTTGGTTTGATTTTATAAAATATTGATATTTTGATATATTTCTTAACTAAGTCATGTATTCTCGTGAACGGGTCTGTAAGTATCGATTGTAGAGAAAATATCCTAGCAGGCGATGCTCACTCTCTGATAWCCACGCTAGTTGTGTTACATGTAGGGCACCAAATGTAGGGTACTGTAGGTTACTGTTGTTATGTTACGGGACTAAGAGCTGCTAGACTGAATACTATTCTAGTAGAGAGCAGGTAGTCAGTATAATTACACGTACAGTTCACTGATAACCACACTAGTCTTCTTCTTGTTACATGCAGGACACTGTTGGGAGGCACTGAAATCTCATTAGAACACTATTCTAGTAAAGCAAAGTTAGTATAATTACACGTAGTGTTCACTGATAACCACACTAGTCTTCTTCTTGTTACATGCAGGACACTGTTGTGAAGGGCTAAGCTCTGTTGACTGCTGTATCTCAATGGGGCAGAGGTTAACAACGGATAATATTGGACTGCAGTAACATTCCTGAGAACAGATGCTAGTAGCGTCTGCATCTCTACTTACTAAGCGACGTGTCTGATTTACAGGAGGTGTTTGTTGTTGACTGTAATCATGGGAGGTAGACCCTATGCCTCTGTCTGTCTTGTCTGCAGAAAACGAGTGTTGACTGTTGGAAAGTGATGTTTGATCAAAAGAAGAGAAGGAAGAGTGTTTTGATCCTTGCATTTGGCGGGAGCTGATTCGTGGCGACAGCCTGGAAGAAGATGAATGTTCCAYGGACGATGAATTTAATGTCTTGGATGCTTTTCTGTTTTCTTTCAACTTCTCACAGGCTCGTCGCAGTAAGCTGCTTTCTTTTACCAGAGTAGCATTTTCCTTTTTTAGTTTGTCGATGATACCTTTGTTGTCGATATGTTCTTCTTCCAATCTCGATGTTTCAAATGTCATCTTGTCCAGGTGAGGACCTTCCTTGCGAAGTTTGTCTTTTTCAATTGTTAGTTTTCTCACCATCTCATTTAGATTATCTATTTCTTTTCGCGATTTTTCTTCGTGTTTTTCCAGAAGGTCGTTGAGATGACGTCTGTGTGATTGCTCCTGCCATTTCTCTCGTTCAACGTCATTCAGTCGAGCATTCAAATCTTCTTTCTCATGTTGTAAGTTTCTTATGGTCAGAAGCTGAGATTTGATGTCTCTTTCTAAAGATTGTAAGCGAGCAACTAGCATTCTCTTTTGTTCTTTGAGTTTCGTGTTCTCATAGAAAAGGTTTTCCAGTTTTTCACGAACCATATTATCCCTGCTCCTATGGAGATACATCTCTTGGATTTCATTTTGCTGCTGACGATTTGCATCTTCAAGTCGTTCTTTTTCTGTCTCCGAGCAAACAACACGATCTTTTAACAACATTACCTCCCTGTCAAGATGACGAAGTTGCGCTTCTAACGTCTTTCTTATCTCCAACAGCTTTGTGTTTTCTTCGAGCACTTTCTTCAAATGTTGTTCTTTACTTTTTACCTCTGCAAGTAAATCTTGGTTCTTAGTGTCCAGTTTCTTCTTGTACAAATACTTTTCTTCAACCATGGATTTTTTCTCGTCCTCCAGTATCTTATTTCTGTCTTCCAGTTGTCTACAGACGGCAGAGACCTTTTTATAGTCTTTGCATAACGATTCCAAAGTCATTTGTTTTTCTTTTCCTGGTGTTTCTATTGCCGACGTACGTGCTACTTGTATTTCGTCTTTGTCACTACTGGTGTTAAATCCATCTACTTTCATTTCTAAGAGTCTGTTTCGCTCACAAAGTTTCTCACATTCTTTCTCAAGATTTCTTATAGTGGTTAGAAGAGCTATTTCATTCTTGTCAGCTTCCTGTAGTTTGGCCAGCATCTCCGAGTGCTCGCTGCTTATGCTAATTTTCTCTTCTCGTTCTGCAGACAAGCATGTGACTAAAGCTGTCAACTCTTTTCTAGTATCTGCGCCAATATCTTCTAACACTCGACGTTCTTCCAAGATATCATTTAGTTTCTCCTGCAGATAAATCAGCTTATCACTCAGCACGTTTTTCTCCTCCGTGACATCTCTAAGTTCTTTCATCAAATTGTTGTTTTCAGTAATTAAGCATGAATCATCCTGCCCTCTTGTTTTCACCATCACAGTACCTTCCAGTCTATCGACAGCATTACGTAAATCACTTATACCTTTTCGAAGGTTATCGGCTTCACTACTCTGCGCATCCATTTTTGTTTCATCCCTGGTGTCGACAAGCGGTCTTAGAACATTCCTGGCCCTGTTCAGTTCAATGGATATTTCATTAAGCAGCTGCACAACAACCTGTCGGTTACTCTCAGATCGTGCTCTTAAGTCTTTCACTTGAGATTCAAGGATAACGATTTCTTTTCTTGCAGTCTCTAGTGATTGTGCCTTTGCCAGATGATCCCTGCCTAGTTCACCTTCAATCTGAGATACTGCAGGCATTTCTGTAGAGGTTACCATCACCTTCTCAATCGATCCTTTCTCCAAAATTAACTTCTTACACTCTTGTTCATATTTTTCTTTGTCAATGACTATATTCCTTAAGCGCCTCCTCAGATCTGCTTGAACACTGTTTGACGCATGTAGAGCCGCCTTTATGTTTTCTTCTGTTTCTTTGCATTTTTGAACGGTTTGTCGTAGAGTTTTACATTCTCGTTGTAATGTTACTACCTTTAGCTCGTCTTGGACTCCTTCCTTAGATAATTTATACAAGTCACCTTGAAGTGTCATTAACTTACAGTCTCTTTCCTCTAAGCTAGCGCGCAATCTCATGTTTTCTATCATGTACTTGGATATTTGTTCCTCGAGATTAAGAGGTGTTTCGCCTCGTTTATCTGTTTTATCCAGATCTGTTACTGCGCATGCTTCCAGTGACGTCATTCCCTCCTTAACAACCATCTCCTCCTGCACCGCTCTTTTCTCTTCTCGATCCATTTCTTTCAATTTCTGACATTCAGTTTTCAATTTATCTATTTCTTTCTTGCTTTTTTCCAGAGCACAGGTTACTTTCTTTATTTCGTACTGTCCTTCTTTCAGCTGACGGATGTAATCTTCTTTTTCCTGGGACGAGGAGGAGAATGACATCTCTGCTTCTGTGTTTACCACGTATTTCGCATGAGATGTTTCAAGTTCATTTTTCATCTTTTCTAGATTCTTCTTCAATTGCTGGTTTTCTTCAGCAATAGCGGCCTTCGATTGTTTGTGTCCTTCAAGTTCCTTTCGCAGACTAATTTCTACATTCTCCATCTGTTGTACTTTGTCGTTTGTCTTTCTGTTTTCTTTTATAAGAGATTCTATTTCTTTAGTCATTTCCTTTTTCGTGTCAATCAGTTCGTCTTCGAAGTCATCTCTTTCAGCTAAAGTTTTGTCTATCTCATCATACAATTTCTGTCGTTTTTCTCGTAACCCATCGATTATTTTTTCGAGGTCTTCCTTATCTTCATCAACTTCGATTAAACGGGATCTCAGATCAGCGTTGCTTTCTTTTGCTCTGTCGAGCTCTTCTTTGAAATGCTCATTTTCTTTTTTCACGGCGGTTATAATGGCTTCAAGATTTGCTATCTTAGATTTTAGGTCACCTGTAAGGGTAGATAATCGCCTGCCTTCTTTTTTGTTTTCCTTTAATTCTTCTGATGTTTTCAGTTTTTTGTCAGACTCCAATTGCAGATTCTTCTTCAAGTGCTGATTTTCCTTGTTCAGTTCTTTCAAATCTTCAGCTAAACGTTCATTCTTTTGTCTCTCCTCGTCCAGTTGTAGACGTAGGCTGTCACACTCTCGACCTGCGCGTCCTTCATCCGCCAATAGTTTCGCATTTTCCTGCTTTATATTTCCAATTTCTCGATCCCTCCTGGTTTTATCTTTACGAAGTTCTCCTGTTAAATTTTCAACTTTTTCTTTAGTTTTTTCATACATGGATTCTAGTTTCTCTAACTTGCCCTTCAAATCATCTGAATGTTCCTTTTCATGTTCCAGCAATTCTTCATTTCTTTTCTTCTCTGCTGTAGAGTTTTCGAACTTAATAGTCATTTCATCACACGACTGTTTCAACTTTTTGATCAGATTTTCAGTTTCTAATCTTCTTTGTTCGCCGGAATTCAAAAGATCAGTTAGTTCATTATTTTGTTTCTTCAATAAAACGAGCTCACTTTGAGCCTCACGCAAACTCACTTTAAAGGTTTCTTTATCTTTTTCCAGTGTTGCAAGAAGATTGCCCCTGGTTTTTAGTTGTTTTTTGAGGCTGGTAAATTCTTCTTCTAGTTTATGACTTTTACTTTCAGTGATTGATGCTTCTTGTTTTGCTTGGATGAGTGCCCTCTTCTTCAAATCGATCTCTGCCTTCAGGACTTCCATCTCATTCATCATGTCTTGTGCTTCTTTCTCTAACATCACCACATTTTCTTTCAGGTCTGTATTTTCGTCAAGAATTTTCTGCATAAAATGTTTAGAGACGCCGAGCTTTTCGTTCAGATCTTTCACACTACTCGATCTTTCTGCCAACGTTTTGTGCAGTTGTTCACTGTCAGTAGATTTGTGCATCTCGGGTTGTTGGGGTTTATCTAGTTCACTTCTCAGACTGATCACCAACGACTGTAGTCCTTCATTTTCTTGCTTTGAACTATTTAACTCATTTTCTAACAGCTTAATTTCTTTTTTCAGCTCATTCGTTTCTCTGTGATGTTGATGCATCATCTCTTTCATGTCGTTTTCCATGCCGGATGTAACGTAACTGCATGCTTCAGGTTCGGCATGATATTCTTGAGGGAACACAAGGTCTTCACCTGAGTCTCTTGTCTCTTCCTTCTCGTCATCTTCTTGTTGTTGCTTCAAAAGAATCAGTTGTTCCTTCAGGTGACGACATTTCTCGAAAAGTTCAGAGCTTTCTTTATTCCTGTTTAGATATTTTGTATTCAAATCGTCGTACTCTTTTTCGAGTTTCTTGCAGTTATTGCAGATGATGCGGTGTGTCAGCTCCCCATCTGTATCGCTTGTTTCTTGTTTTTCTTCTTTTAGTTTTATGGCTTCTTCAGCTGCCTTTTGAGCCAAAACGTTTCGCTCTTCTAAAAGCTGTTCGTATGAATTTCTCATGGTTTGTAAAAACTCTGTTTTGGATGTCAATTCTTTGGCGATTCTTTCGTTGTCTTCACTAATTCGTTCAAGTTCTGCTTGAAGACTAACACTGCTACCAAAACGTTTCTTTATTATTTCAATCAAACGCTCGAGTTTACATTTGATAGTATCGTAGTTTTCTTTGCCTTGTGGAACTTCGGATTCTTTTTCTGCTTCTGTCAACATCTTTTCTGATGTCATGTCTTCTTCATCAAGAATCTCGGATATTTTAATGTCGACGTGCTGTACAAACAAGTTGAGAAAGTTTGTCTCATTTGTTTGTTTCTTCAACTCGTCTTTTGCATGCATTATCCATTCTCGTAACTCGCACACTTTTTTCTGCACTGCCTCTATATTTTTGATTGATTCAGGGGACGCCGAGTCTTTACCAGTTATTTCTTTATCAAAAACAGCTATCAATTGATTTATTAGTTTATTCAGCTCTTCGTTTTCCTTTGAAAATTCTTGCAATTCCTTGGTCATTTTGGCAGCATTCTGCTCTAGTTCTGAAGTCTTATTCATCAATTCTTCTTGTTTTGGCACAGACTTCTCTAGGTCTTCTATGAGTGCTATTTTCTTCTTTTCCTCTGAGTCAAGCTTAATTTCAACAGTTTCCAAATCTTGTTCTCTATCCATTAACTGTTGGCTAAGTCCTTGTATTTCTTTGATAGACTTTTCATTGCAGGCTTTCAACATCTTTATCTCTGTTTTCAATTTCTCATCTAGTACTCCCTTTYCCGCCAAAAGTTGGTCTCGTGATATTTTCAGGCCTTCCACCTCAAGAGATAGTTGTTCGCAATTTTTCTCCAAGGAATCTTTTTGGGATTTAAGTGCCTTGGCGTATTCAGCAAGTTCCAGCTTCTTTTCCATGGTTGCTATCATCTTCTCTTCTAGCTCTATCAGTCTTTGCACTCGTTCATCTGCTTCTCCTCTTAACAACGCTCCCTGATTGGATAACGCCTCTACTTGTTTTTCAAGAGCTTCAGTTTCCTTAATAGATTTATTTAGCTCCTCTGAAGAGGAAAAARGTTTGCTGTTCTCAAAAATGTCCACAATTTTTTCATTCAGGGAGTTATTTTCTTCTTGCAACTCTTTAGTCTGCTGTAACAGTTGTGCATTTTCAAGTTCTTTTTCATTCAAACGATCATTCTTTGTCTTGACCATCATTATTAACTTCTTTATCAGGTCATCGACTTCTTCAGGAACAGATTCTTCCCTTAACTCATTTTCTTGTTGTTTTGTGGACATTTCAGCATCCTCTTTCATTTCTCCCATGTCTTGTTCATAAGGCTTCCCATTGCACAGATCACTTTCCATACCGTAGAGTACTCCACGAAGCTGACATTTTATCCTTTGTCTCTCCTCTCCCATCTTTTTTATATCTTCTAAGAATTCTAAGTTGTTTTTGGATGAGGATTCGAGTTCTCGTTCAAGGTTTTCTTTTTCTGTTGAGATCACTTCAAACCATTCCATAAGATGTTCTTTGTCTACCGTGTCTTGTTGTTGCTGTTTGCTTGCAAGATACTGTAATTGAGAAGATAATTGTTCAATATTTGCTTCTAATTGTACTGCTAGTTTATCAATCTCAAAGATGATCTCATTTCTGGAGAACTGCTTGGAAAGGTTTGTTTCTTCACCGTCTTTCGGAGTGTCAATATTGTCACTCGATTCAGGGATTTCGTTACTTAGTTCATCGGCAACACATTCCCGCTGCTCGCCTTCCTTGCTTTCCTTAGCCTTTGTTGCATCATTTGTGTCATCATCTCTGCTTTCTTTGCATTCCAATAAACTCTTGATTCGGGCTTCAAACTTTAATTTTTCTTGGGATAACAAAGCCACAGAATCTTTTAGTTTATCAATAATCTTTAAAAGGTCATCCTTATTGTTATTTTGATCTTTGTCAGACTTGGACATGTCATCAAGAGAGTTCTCTTCTGCGATGGAAAGGTTTTCACTGACCAGTTCTTTTTCATTCTGATCTTGCCGCATCTCTTTGTCTTCCTCCTCAGGAATGACTTCCAGCTCCGCCTTATGAGGTTGCTGCTCGCTTTTCAGTCTTTCCACTTCTCTATTGGCAGCAAGAAGCGATTCCTTCATAGTCTCATGTTCGTTTACCACTCTACAAAGAGATTCCTTGAGGTTCTTGATTTCGTCCAAGGCTTCGACAAGTGATCTCTTGTATTGCTCTTGTTTATTCAACGCCTCAGCGAACCTATTTTGGAGTTTCTCTTTACTTTGATAGACATTTTCTAATGCCTCTGCCAAATTGTTTTTTTGCTGCCTTATTTCATCCAATTGTTCTGTGACTTTTTCCTTTTCTTCTGTTAATTTAGCAATGAACCCTTTCATCTGTTTTTTCTTGTCTTCTGTCTCTCGTACTGATTTGTGCAAGGCTTCTTTGTCGGTGTTCAAAGCTCTCAGTTGATCCTTCAACACGTCACATTCTTCGTCGTGTTTCTTTTTCATCTCACTGACTTTGTTTAACACCGCCTTTAGCCCTACAATGGATTTTTTTTGATCATCGTCTTCGGCGCCACTTTTCTCATACTCTTCTACGGCCCAATTTTCTGGGGACTCCTCATCTTCCTTTATTCCTGAAGCCGCGTCTTTTACTTGGACGCTATCGATTTTATCTATCAATTCATGTATTTCTTTTATGTTCTGTTGGTAGAATTTAGCCTTTTCGTTCAAAACATTGTTCTCGCTACGGAAATCGTCCCTCTGCTTCGTCACTTCTTGAAGCTTTTTATTCAGTACTTCACAATGTCGTTTACTTACAAACTTTTCCTCGTTGGCCTCTTCTAAAGATTCCATAACTTCTTCCTTTGCCTCATTAGCCTCCCGAAGACGAACTTGTAGTGTTTCTGCACATTCATTAGATTTGGCCAGTTTATCAAGGTGGATGCCGTTTTCTCTTTTGAGCTGAATGAYGACATTCCTTAGTTCCTTTTCGTTCTTCTTACTTTCATCGAGATCTTCTTGTAGTTTATCTCGCTCTGTTTCCAGCTCGTTCACTGATTCTTGGACGTAACGTAGCTGTTCTCCAAGAGCGTGGATCTTTTGTTTCAGTTCTTGTAGCGATTCTTCAGCTGCAGAACTTACAACACTCATAACAGGACTCGTTGGTGGAGTACTGTCTATATCCTCTGTATCTAGCGACCCATTAGATTCAGTTTCTAGTTTTGCTGGTGCGATGCTTTCGCCATCCAGTTTTCCTGGTAACTCAAGAGATTCTTTATCTTCATTAGTAACATGTTTTTCTATGCTTTCTTTATCACCCTCGACCTTTACGTTTCTCGGGAAACCTTGTTCCGCACTTTCTGAGCCAAATTCCTTGCCATTTTCCTCGGTCTTTCTTTCAAATACATCATTTTCAAGGTCTGCTTTGGCCTCCCACTGTTCAAGGGCAACCGTTAACTCTTCAATTTGAATCTCAAGAGACTCGTTTCTTTCCAACTGGTGGTACAGGGATCCCAGTAGACAGACTTTTTCATCTTCTAATGTTGCTTTTTCTTTTTTCAGTTTCTGAACGTTGTTTTCGAGCTGCGTCTTGACAGCTCCGAGTCTTTTTATTTCTCGTTGAAGGGATTCTTTATCAACAAGAACATCTTTGGTCTCAACTCCACCTAACGTACCGTCGTTAAGCGATTTGACTCGCCTCTTTTTCAGAAATTGAAGTTCTTTAGAATTTTCTCTTGCTCGTTGTTTGTTGGACTTGAGAAGAAGAAGTTCTCTTTTCATTTTGGTGTATCCTTCTTCTATGTCTCTTTTTTCCAGCTGCAAATTTCTAATGTGAGATCTTTGAGATTCTAGTAACTCTTTGCAGTTCTTAACCTCATTAAGAAGATTCGAAGTGAACTGCTTGTCTTCATTCCTCTCTTGATTGGTTTTCTTTTCGCCATTTTCTATGGTCATGCTGGAATTTGTTTCGATCAATGTACCGACTTCTCTGTCTAAAAACTCGAATACTTCCTCCATCGTTGACTTGTTTTCTACTTGGTCAAGCAAGTTCTCCAAAGATTTGCAATTTTTGTTTTGCAAGTCTTTTAGGGCTAGTAATATCTCTTTATTCTTTGCCTCTGTTCTCTTGAACTTCATTTCAAGGTCTTCATTGAAAGAATGCAGATGTTCTATTTCATCTAGAGTTGTGTCTAATGTTTCGTTGATTTGTGTTCTGAGTTTATTAATGGTGTCTTCCAAGGTTCTTTTCTCCTCGGTCAGTTTGTAGTTTTCTTCGTCTAGTGTCTTGCTTTCCTCTTCTCTTTCATCTATCTCGTTTTGCATGTCAGTAATGTGTTTTTTTAAAGCCTTGTTTTCTTTCGTGAGCTTTGCAACAAGAGGAGTCACATCTTTCTCTTYCATGCTGTCGGCTATCTTCACGAGGTTACACTGCACTCCAAAATCAGCATATGATACTTCTTCATCCTCATCTTTTTCCATGCTTTGCATTCGCATGATTGTCGACAGCAAAATCTTTCTTTCGCTATGCATTCTTTCTAGTTCACTCTCGATTAAAGCAGAACTGTCTGTTGCAACATCTGTCATGGTAAGAAGTGATTCCTCAACATGGCCACTTTCTTCAAACTTTTTCTTTATCTTTTCAAATCGCTCTTTCATCTTGGCAATTTCTTCGCGCAAAGTCTTGTTTTCATTTTCGAGTTTGATATGAGTCTCTGCTTTGCATTCACGTCCGTTTTGTAGCGACTGTACTTCCAGACGGTACTGTAGTTGGTACTTTAAAAATTTGATCTCATCATTAAGATCTTTCTTGTCTTCAAGAAGCTCTAGTTTTTCATTCTCTAGCAGTTCTATTTTCGATTTGTAGTCTTCTGAGCTAAGCTCTTCATTCTCGGGCATAGAGGAACATGAAGATGACATAGACGACACCTTACGCTCTCCTGCTTGTGAAGAGGCCGACATTCTGTGCCGTAAGCTTTCTCGTCTTGCCTTTCCCTTAACTAATGTTCTCTGTAGCTGTCCCATTTGGTTTTCCAGTTGCTTTATTTCACTATCAACAGACGTAGTTCTCTTTCTTATTTCGTCAGCTAGTTCTTCTGACAGACAATTCTCTCTCTGATCCTGTCCTTCTTCCACGTTAGAACAATCTTTAACAACATAACTGTGAATGGCTTCTAATTGAGTCCCTAGTTTTCGTCCCCTTTCTGTCATGTCTGCTGTTAATTTTCTCACAGTGCTCAACTTAATATCTTTGTATTCATGCTCTTCTTGTATTAGGCGGTCAAGAATATCTTTCAGGTCCAAAGGGGACAGGGCATCTTCACTGTTGTTACTATGCTTAATCAAGCTGGATTTGTTTTTACTTGAATCTCTGTGGAGCAAAAGAGGATACCTGTTGGTATAACAATATTTGAAGTGGTTGTAACTCTGATATGCTAAATCATGATTCTCATGCGACAGCATATATGTGTGGCTACTAAAGCCAATTCGTGTGTCGAGGCCGATGCCAAGTTCGCTAGTATTGTTGCTGATGCAAAATAATCGCATGACTTAGCCCACGTATTAGATAATGAATCCAGGAGTCAGGTCAATGTTGTACTTCTTTGTTTACACTGTTATGGATGATATGCAAACAATCCATATGACACAGTAAAATTTATATTCTCATGTTAAGTAAAGGAAAGAATTGTTCCACTGGAAGGTAAAATGACGAGCTTTTCATAGCCGTGTGCTTGTTAGTTATACTGGCGATGCTACATGCATGCATTACTAGATGTATATCAACTACATTTACTATTAGTCGAGGTATAAAATAAAGTTTTACGAGCTGTATCTAATATATTAGAAGAAACTATAAATTGTAAATAGCATCTCATCAATAGCAGGTAGGTTAGTTTAATGACTGAAAAATCATTCTTGTTTAATTTTCACGGGAGAAGTGGCTAACAAACCTGTATGGCCCTCGTTCCATGATCGAATTGGTTATTCAATCACTCGCAGCATATAGAGTTGGCTAGTTTTGCAGTTGTATATGCCACTTAATCACTCATTAAGTATTCTCTTGATTAAATTGCCATAAATCAGCCGGATGAAAGTAGTTTGCCAGCAAATTATCAGAGTTCTACCGAGAAAGGCTGAGCATTACTAAGATGGTTAGGTCGGAAACGTCATTGTCCACTAAGAAGATTGATGGTTCGAAGCCGATGACACGGCAAAGATGCAGGGCCGGAATGACCTACTTTGTTGGCTAAGTTGAAATGGTTGGTTAACCAGTTAAAGTTTATTGCTTGTGACTGATGAAAGTCTTCAAAACATCAAATCGTACCAGAGGCCCAGTTGTAACGCGAAGGGTAGATAGCGCTATCCGATTCTTCGTTTGTAACCATGCACGTGTATTTTGCTGGTGCTAAAGTACTTTTTGGTTCCAATCCAAAAACAATCATTATGACCATGTAGAGCTACTTATAATACAACTCTGAGCAAGAAATTGGAGCATTAGAGAATTTCTAAAAAGAGCTATGAGCGAACGAAGTTACCGATATTTTAGTGTAAATGTATGGCGAAAACTTGCTGGATGATATCTAGTATCATCCAACATGGCGGCCAAAATTTCAAAAAATATATTTAATGTCAAAAATCCATCAAATTCACTTCAAACATGTACCAAATCTAATTTATAAACTTGTACAACACTAAAAGATTTTGATTTGGGAAAAATATATGTATTTCTTTGACTTTTCAGACACGTATTGAGCGCAAGGTGAGGATTACCGATTAGAAAATTAGATTCGCACAACTCGGAAACAAAACGATGAAACGATTTGAAATTTTTTTTGCATTTAGTGACATCGTAGTTCTCTAAAACATATCAAAGAATCGAGTTTCTAGCATTCATAATTAATTTTATGTTGTTATTTTCTTGGTCTATGACGTCACGTGCAAACGAAGAATAGAAAAATCGCATCTTTTGGATAAGTCTACGCTGTTATCCAATACATTTTTCCTCTGGATAAGATTTATCCATCGGATAGTGTTATTCCCCCTTCGTGCAACTGGATCCAGGTGATTTAAAATATAGGCGCGCAATGCATTAATCGTAACAGCGAAAATTTCAAAGTACTTTCTATTATCTCTCGTTRAAACGAATTATTTTCCACCAACAACAACGAAAAATAYTATTTTCAAGAAATGAAATTGCAATTTTGAATTAGGATGTTTAAACTACAGTTTTCAGATAACTACGAGAAATACAATTATTAATTATGACAGAGTGCGAGGCCTGGTTAGGAAATTATCAAACAGGAGGTATTCGTTTACGGGAAGCCGGATTGAGAAATATGAGTATTCAATGCAGTTATATCTATTAGCTCTACCACAGGAACCCCAGTCCAAGTCTTAAAGTTACGTATCGTAAGATAATAGTCCACAGTAGAAGGACAGAAATTCATGTCATTCTTTATGACATGTGTCAGTGACCCGTAACAAAGTTTAATGCTAACTATACTTAAAACATCTACAGGAAAATATAAAGTACAAGGCAGGAATAATAATAACAATAAACCAATGCAAATATTGGAAAACAATTTTGCTCTTCTTTCAAGGAATTCAGTTAAATGGTTTTGGTAATAATCAACGCCACAAATCAAAGAATTCTAAGAATTGATTTGGTAACTTCATACTCTAGATCATTTTGAGATAATTTAAATAACTAGGATCCATGAAATGCGTTGAACATTTGAATAATTGTGCTAGTGGAACAACTCCTAGTAARTCGACTAAATATTAATTAATCTGGCCAAATTGAATTTCACTTAACGCCGCCAAAGAAAGCAAGCCAAAACAGGCATAATTCTGCTTAATTCTCGATGTATCATATTCGTTATACTCTAATAATTTTACTGAGGTTATTTCAACACAGTTGAGCTAGACGACTTTTGGAAAATGAGTTGCTCTATCTTCTTCCCACACATAACGTGTTTAACGATAGTGTTAATAACTTGGCACACTACCAGTTAGAAAGGTGCCAGATAAAATCACAAAAAAGTCTCTAAGTAGAAAAGCAAAGAAAACGAGAGAATTTTTGCGAAGATTTTGAAAGCCTATCACAAGACGACTGACAAAAGCAAGATCAAAGATCTGCTGTGATGGTATTTCTTATAAAGGTTGTTTACCTTTAATTGGCCACATAAACTTATTATCTTCGAGTCACTAATACCAATTTATACTCCTGGTAATAAACTATCTTTTGCAGTCATACCTTTGTTATAAGCCTTGCGATAGTATGTCCAGATATTCATCAACAATAATTCACTTCATTTTGAAGCTAGAACTAATTTCCAATCGTTTCCAACGCTACGGCGCCATGTGAACAGGGATTAACATAAACCATTTTATCAATATACATATATATAAACAACACTTATGAACTTCAACCAAATCAAAAGTGAGACATATTTAGACTTTACACGGTGTAAGAAACTTGGCTGAGACTTGTGCGATATTCACTACCACCATGTAAGCGCCTCTCGTCGATATGACATACCGACCGACAGTTCTCGAGTGTAATTCAAGATTCCTACATGAATGATAATGAAGTGGGAGGAGCAACTGAATGTTAAAGTATTTTTTTAACTAAGACATATGCTAATGTTAATAAAATAACATTTAATACAAATTTGAAAAAATTATGTATAAATCTTAGGTAAATAATAGCGAATGCAGCTTGCTAAATCTAACGTCCTTTAGAAGAAAGGTTTTTCCTGCCATCAGAAATATCACAACATGTCACAAAGTACTAAGATAAATGCGTATCAAGAATATCAGATCCAATAAGGTTATTTTACTTACCTTGCGGAATCAGCCATCATTGCTGTAATGTACGCCAACCCTATAAGCATTTATTATCATGGGGCCTCTGTTACTGTAAAATAAGAATTAACAAAGTCAGACAGTCATATAGCAGCCGCACTGAGCACTCACAGAGTTGAGCAATTAGATAAAATATTTTTGATGCAGGAAGAAAAAGTGTGATATGAAAAATGTATTGTATGGCCCTATCACAAAGATCCCTATCCGCAATTAGCCAACCTAATCTACGATACTGGGGCCCCGGATGATAGATTGAACGTCTTCTGGACAAAAACGAGCTTGTGACGTTTTCCTCCCATGATCACAAACGTTTTGTCTTAACATCATAACGAAATTTAGTCGTACAATGAATTATGCTTTTCCTGATAGCCAGCAAGAGAATATTAAGTAAGTTACTCCATATTCTCTTGACAGCCAGTTAGGTTGGCTAGCATGACAACTGCAACGATAAGGAAGACTAATGAAAAGCATGATATGATGACTGACCTATGAATTATTGATTTAACAATTAACGTAATGATTATCTCCATGTAACAAGGGCGTGTATGACAAGTGGTTTACTACTGGTTTCCGCATACACAGAATGCGTCGCGTACGAGCTTGTTCCTGCGGAAACTTGTCATTTTTTCTACTTACTTATTTATAAAAGGAGGTTTTGGAGGATGATCGAGAGTTGGAAAGAATTAAACGTAATATCAATTCGTTCAATCAGTAATAGAGATTTTTCTCTATTATTCTCAAATGCGTTTCTCATTGACTCCAGTAGGCAAGATTTCCTTCACTTGACCTTTAGATAGACGACGTCCTACTGAACCAATACTTAATCACTCGCACAACTGTGATACAATACTTTGTATCTATTCCTGAATGAATCAGTGATAAACGTACAGATTAAATTGCGTTAGCTATTTCAAGATTGCATGACACGAGCAAAGCAAAGCTCTAACTCTTATTTACTAATGTTGGTTAACATACAGTGGTGTCAATCCATGGGAAGGGTAAACTGATCATAGTAGTCACAACCAAAAGTGTATAGTAGCAAAGTAAAAAGAGCGAACAAAAATCAATTGTAATAACTAGAATCCGTCTCTAACCATGAGAGAAAGTCATTAAGAAGTGACTTGATGAACTTTGTTCTCATAAACCCTTGTCTGGTTGGTTGTGAAGGAAATAAAACTAAACTAACTGGCAATAGCGCTAGAAAGTAATATCATGGCCTAAAGTACCGGCAATCAATACCAAGAAGCCTATGACGTTGATTACAGATCAAGTACTGTTTATACTGTTACTGCTAAATCAGTGATCCTCTTTCTTCTCACGAACCCTTTGTCGAGTTATCAGTATCTTAATAGCAACAACAACACTATCTTAGAATATCTAACATACCTTATCCTACAACATCAGGACGTCTTATCACACAAAACAGAGCTCGGCTTTAACCAAAATGATAAACTTCGTGCCCGGACTTCATGATCCAGTAGTGTTCAAACGTCTTTACTGTTCAGGCTTCAGGTTACATTTTTGGGGTTATACATTAGCCGGTGACGTCGTATTCTTTATTCAGTTTCAATCGACCCAAGTGATGAAAGATGACGCAATTCGTATCGCAGGTTAGCTGTTTTATGAATTTTTTCCTAGGTCGTGTCGGTCAGACGTTGCCCCCTAGCAAACTCAGGCTCGACTGAACAAAACAAGTATCAAGCTCAGTTTTAGTTCAGTATGCGTTAGACGAGTCCAACAAGACTTGCCTTTTTAATATGTACGTCTAAAATGGCTGTAGTATATACGGTTTAACAAGAGGAAACTTAATTCACGGCTGCTCCACAAGGGTTTTGCTCATAATTACCGACGGCGCTGTTCTTTGGTGCTGTGTTCTGTTCTTTGTACATCGTATATGTGAGGTTAATAAACTGCACATTGTGCCAGGTAGGGTGGGATATATTTATCGTCTCATTTATATTTATCGTCGTATCGTCTCATTGCGTTTACGGAACAACATGCACCGTTAAAACCATCAAGCAATTCAGCGCACAGGATTGTCACGCTGCCCGTCAGTGTTCACCATACGTCACATACACACGCAYCACCGATACACACGTGCACCGAGGGCGTTAATGATTTAAAATATAAACGCATTAAGTTTCTATTAAGCTTGTTTATTTCTTTTTTAATAAAAAAAATAACTCATCATTTAAAATCTTTTTCTTTTTTCAAAAATAGTATGTTTTTGGAAAATATTTTCAAACTTGTCACATGACTACAGGGTGGATACTATACTAAACTATACATGTTAACGATTAGATATTGGTTGCTTTGATACATTATTACAGGTAGGTGTCCCTTATATTTGTCATTATTTTTTCCCTTTTAAACTTATTATTTACCACTCTCGCCTCCATCGATCGGACCATGTATTAGTGATCTGGGTTAACATAATGAGACATCCCGGCCATTACACATGATTTATTTATAAAACTGATCATGGTCATATAGCCTAACATTATTGCACGACGAACCTGTTTGGTGTTAAAAACACACACACAACAAATAGAACCCCTAAAAGTCTGAACATTCTACCTCTGATTCCCATAACATCCTAACAACAAATATATAATTCCAAATGCGTCAAAATATTAATCATGATTTGCTCTTAAGAAACACTTTTTAAGAATTGAAATTCAGCATGCTTCCCACACTTGGTTATCTATTCTATTATTATGTATAATATAGTTTTACCAGTAACCGCATTAAAAAATATCCATTCAACGGCCGATTAGTCTGTGCTTCATAAGGTGTTGGTTTTGCGAGATGAGAAGATGCTGAAACTAAAGTACAAAGTAGTGTGTATCAGTAAGCTAGCTTGTATCTGATCAAAACTTTGTCCAGTAAGGGATACCAAGTTAGTCGCCCCTTTGCAGAGGGATGTATAGTGATCTAGGTATTAGGGGTATATTTGCTACAACAGACAACAGAAATGGCAATTCCTCTGGTTGGGTTACCAAACCAGGCATAAAAGTATTACTTACATCTTTGAGATTCCAGATTCCTCGCATTTTCTTTGCGTATTGGGACTCTTTTCAGGATTTATCTCTGCTTTCTTTTCATCTCTAGAAAATAGAACAAGAAAACAAAAATAAGGTTTAACAAAAATAGCTAAGAATCTTTTTCTTGTAATTGGTTTTGCGATAGTTCTTCAATAACATTTGGTGGGCTCTGTTCAAACTCACATCAGTTTTGATCGACTGCCACATATAGACTAGAGCCACATATAAAAGAAACTGGTCGATCTACTTACTCAGAGATGTAGCAAGACAAATCTTCTTTAAGAAAAAATACTTCTTCTTTAAATTTGTTTCGTTCTGCTAGTATTTCTTGAAATTCTGCTCTAGTGTATCGAGGTCTGTTTGGATCTCTTTCCAATGTTTTTGTCGAAGACTCTGCATTTTCATTGTTCTGATCAAGTGTTTTTTCCTTGTCAGCAACATTTTCTCTCTTGCTAACTTCTTTTCCATTGTGAAGGTCCTCAGCATGTTTTTCAGCTTTCTGATGAAGCTGGACATCCATTTTGGCAAAATCATCTTCTATAAAACTGTCAACATCACCATCTGAACACTTTCTTTCTCCATCCACCCCTTGGTACTCTGCTTCTTGTTCACTGAGTTCTAATTTAAGGATTTTCAACTCAGCTTCATGCTCTGCCTTTTCTTTAGCCAGTCCATTCATTCTTGACTGTTGTACAGCAAGGTTTTTCCTCAAAGATTCATTAATGTTTGCTAATCTTTCAATTTGTTCCTCCATCTAAAAACATTTTGTTGTTCAAAGTCATTAAATCATGAAGAGAAATATAATACAATCCAGATGTACATGTAACACAGGAAGTCTTTCCTCTCTCCCATCCCCCAAACACATGCTTATAATATAATACGAATACATTCAGGGGTACATTTAGGGAGGGGCAGGGGGCTGTAGCCACGTACATATAGTTTTACTTGATCAAAGTAATGGATTTACAGTAAAATGAGACGTTACTTAAAGTGCTTATAAGCCTTTGCACAATACTTTCAGAATTGATTCTTTAGATAGTGGATAGTTGATTGTGAAAATATTTCATCATTTGAATGTGGGGTCTTTAAGTTATGAAGGCTTTTATCCCCAATATGTTAATGACTATGACGTAACATAAGGGATCATTTAATATACAACACTGCACTCGTTCTGGAATACAGTATTTTAAAAGCATCACCCTTTTACTCGTGACTCACGTAAAGGTTCTTACAAATTTGTTTTCAAAAAATGTCCAGCATTCAATATCAAAAGTTGCCACAAAATAACTCAAATCCCTTATGTTATGTCATAGTCATTAACATATTGGAAATATAAACCTTCGTATCTCAAAGACCTGATGAATTATTTTCACAATCAACTATTCACTATTTAAAGACTCAATTCTGAAAATTTGGTCAAGTCCCCCTTATATTTTTGGATGGATCTGCCCCTGACAAGGTCATTAGGAATGAGAGGGGGATGGGGTGGGTGTGTCATGGGTATACTAGAAACCATGAATATGCAGCATAAATCTGAATATTTTTACTTCAACTAAAGGCAATAATAGGAATTGCTCACACATATGGAAATTCACAATGTACTTACTGCTTCAACATCTGCTTTTTGACTTTCGATTTCCAGATTTCTACTGCGTATTACATCCCGTTGAGTGTCAATAGTTTCTTTCATTTTTTGCATTACTTCTGCATCACCTGGCGCACTTACATAGGTAGTGACTAACAAACAAATGTCCAGATTGATGTCATTTGATTGATATGATCATCTATTCAACTATTTAACAATAATTTGCTGAAGCCTAAGTGATTATCAGTGAATATTTATTGAGCCATGAGTCTTCAAGCAGCAAGGTAAATATTCCCCATATTCACTGAGCCTGAGGTGAATAATTGTTTTAGTATAATTTTAGACTTGAATATCAGAGAAAAGATGGAATTCAGGATTTTGGTATTACTTCTGCTCTGGGAAACTTTGGAAAACCTTATTATCACCACTCTCAGTGACTATTGTCTCAGAATCACTAGTTGTTCGACCAATCACAGCTCGCAAAACCATACAGTCTAAAATTATACTATCAATCTATAATTACCTGGTCTCTCATTTGCTGACACTTCGTATTCCATTCTCAATCTTTTGTTCTCTTCTTGAAGTTTATCAACCATTGATTTTAGCCTCTTTAGTTCGCCATCTTTACRAGCATGAAACAGTTCCTTTACATTGGTGCAAATTATGAATCAATATCTATTTTTAAATGTAAATGCAAATTGCTAAAAAAATATGACAGACGTTAATAGAAAGACAGACCTCTTTGGAAAATGGACTACAGGTATCCCATGTTAGCAACAATAAACTACTGTGAGAATTTATAATTAATATTGCTTAATTAATTAATATTAATTGCTTATCAATATATTTCACAATATAGTCCTTTGTTTTCAAATGTTCTGTGCATGCTCTGAATCCGTATGCAAATTAGTCAAAACATATGTAAATTTGACTTTCAAACATACCTGACAAATTGGACTTTACRAAATACCAAAACTTAGTATCCATTGAAACTTAAGGCTAATTCTTTCATCTCGTGTTTGTTGAAACAGTATCTTGGTCTGGAAAAAGTATACTCTGGAACTTTTTTGTATACTTGGAGAAAACAAACATTTATTTTCTCACTCAAACTCTTCAAAATTCTTATTAGAAAACGTGCCGAGATGCACGCATGCGCAAACGTTTCTAAGATTTCTTGGGAAAAAAGCAGCTTA